TGTAAACTTACCAAAGTTTTTAAGTTCTATAAATGTAACAGGAAAGATAAATCTGAAAAAGAACATTTTTGAAAATGATTTTTCTACATCAATAAAATTGATTTTTATTTGATTTCTTGTAGTAATTTAATTCATTAATGTTTCTTCTATACCATGTATACTACCAGGAATCTTCCCTAATTTTTCATGCATGTATTTTAGAGAAAATGAGTAATACATGTATTGATTTTTTTAGAACTTTTATTAATTTCTTTAAAAAAAAATGTTGATTGATAAAATGAAGTTCTCATGGTTGTTTTGTGAGCTTAAAAATATCTGCCACGAAAAAAAAAAAAAAAATTTGTTGTGCTATTTATCAAAACTTGATGGGAAAGAAAAATCTTAAAACTTAAAAAATTAAACTAAAAAAAAATCAGTATAAATTAAATTAATTATACTTCAATTCCTAGCCAGTTTTATAGGTTGATAAATATGCTTGTTAAAAGTAATGCTCAGAAATATGAGAATATAAACTGGGTGTATGTGGAGGACCCTTGAAGACTCTCTGTCCTTATAAAGAAAAGAAAATTGTGAGATGGGAATGCTGTTGAAAACAATAAAGGGCAATTTAGTGCAATTATTTATTTTCCTTTCAGTGCATGTAACTGGTCTGACAAAACTTCACACAGTACGATTAACTTTGTCAGAACAAATGTCAATTTAAAAATTTCGATAATAAACCCCCCCCCCCCCTTTCAGTGAAATATAGAATACAGAACAAAGAGTAAAAGACTATTATAAATGAAATCATACCAGGAGAGATAATCCACTGATGATGTAGATCCTTTTGTTGACATTTCCTCTTTAATTTTTGCTATTGCTTGTAAACATTTTTCGCTTTCTTTTACAACAGCAAATAGACCCATTGAATCAAGTTCAGAAAATTCTTCATCGATGTCTAACCTCTGCAAGCAATTTTTCGTTGATTCCACCAGAAATTCCAGATTAGACCACAATGCAGCATGATCTTTGATACCTAGATAGAACGTTCTATCGTTAAAATGATATTGTCCTACGGACTCGGTTTAACTTTGATACCTAGGTACCAAATACAAGTCTTTCAGGGCTAATTCATATAACTCAGACAATTCTGTTGCTTTTCCAACATAAAAGATTCCAAAAGATTATAATCTACAAATATCCCATTCTGAAACATAGTCTTCAGCAAAACCTCCCACATTTCACTCCGGACGTGTAACTGTCGTCGCTTGAGCTTGATCTTAATGATCTTCCCCTTTTCCGCATTAGTTCTGATGCTGAAGGGGATGAGCATGGTGACAAAATGGAGTTTGAAGAATTAGATGAATCATCCATCCAATTTTTGGCGAATTATTCTCATGGAATTTTCGGAATCTCGATCCCGAGTGCTACTATTTTCACGAATTACGTCTTCAGGACGTGTTTGCGTGAAAATATCAAAAAATCCTGTCCCACTCGTGAAATAAATTCCATATCCAACTACAAAACATTGAATTTTCTATTTATTACATTTTCGATGATTTTCCCTTTGCCTCTGTCTTTTCTTTTAAAACACAATGTAATAGGCTGTGACGTCATAGTTGAGCATTTGAGACGTCAAGGCTTAGCAGTTGTGAGATGAAAAACATTGCAATATGGATTTTAGCAACATATTTTGGAAGAAATTGGCAGTTTTAATCTCTATCAAGATGGTTTAGTTACTATCTCTATCTTATTACAGGCCAGAAATTATATTTTACTTACTTTGATATCCTTTGATCACACTGTAAGAGAATATCACTTTGGTATCCTTTCACACTGTAAGAGAATATCACTTTGATATCCTTTGATCACACTGTAAGAGAATATCACTTTGATATCCTTTCACACTGTAAGAGAATATCACTTTGATATCCTATCACTTTGATATCCTTTCACACTGTAAGAGAATATCACTTTGGTATCCTTTCACACTGTAAGAGAATATCACTTTGATATCCTTTCACACTGTAAGAGAATATCACTTTGATATCCTTTCACACTGTGAGAGAATATCACTTTGGTATCCTTTCACACTGTGAGAGAATATCACTTTTATTCAATAAATGAATCCCACTATTTCACTGTTGAAAATGTAATAAATCACAACATTCCATAGAGTGGACTTTATTTTCCATATACAAAGAATACCTTTTGTAATTAGAAAAATTTCATATTCTGTCATTTTTCAGAATATTTCTATACCTCTCTTATTCTATTTCCACATAATGACTGCATTCTTTAAGTAATTGGTTATCCTCAATGTCAACTTGCACCTCTAGATCTTACACGTTCAAAATACTTCGAACATTAATTGCTCATCCAGACACACACAGATTATTAGTCGCTCTTTGGGGACATTCGGGATAACTCTGCCAAGGGGACATTAAATTCCCGATGGATATATTCACCAAAGACGCTCTTAACATATATATATATATATATATATATATATATACACACTTAAAAAACACGAAAAACCTCAGTAAAGCACGAAAAACCTCAGTAAAGCTTTAGGCCTTTCATTCCATCTTCAAAAGCTTTACAAAATAAACAACAGTAGTTACATAGTAACGTTACACAATGATACGCGGAGTATATGACGTCGTAATTGTGAAGTCAAATGTACTATGACATCATAGTCAATTGCTCTTTGCATTCAAGTAAAAAGTTCGGGAAAACTTCAATACAAATACAGATATACATATGCATGCATCATTAAATTGATATATATACTAAATCAGATTGTTTAGCTTTGGTTTCAACGTACAAATAAAATAGTACTTCAAAATAATACGTTTGCCTTTGGTAATAGTCATTTTTTACAAACTAAAGGAACTGCCATGGGAACAAAAGTTGCACCAGCATACGCAACACTTACCCTAGGTTACCTAGAATACAAACTACACCAACAACTCATAACCTTATGGGGAGAAGATATAGCCAGCAGCCTTAAATCTAAATGGAAAAGATTCCTGGATGACTGCTTTATTTTATGGGATGAAAGTGTCGAAAAATTAGAAGTCTTCCATAAAATATTAAATGAATTGAATGCCAACATCAAATTTACTATAGATACCAGTGAAAATCAATTACCATTCCTAGATGTTCTCCTTATTAAAAAGGACAAAAGGATCATTACTGATATATATTACAAAGTGACGGATACACACCAATACTTACATTTTGGTTCTTGTCATCCACATCATACCAAAACATCCATTCCTTATAACCTCGCCAGACGTATATGCACCATTGTCAGTGAAAAAGATACAAGGGACATTCGTTTATGTGAACTTAAAACCTATCTTTTAAAACAGAAATACCCAGTCCAACTTATAGACAATGGAATACTTAAAGCCAAGGAACATGAAAGATCAGAATTACTATTAACCAAAGGATGTGAGGATAACGAGAATATTATTCCCTTTGTACATACTCATAATCCTCAGAATCAGAACATCAACTCCATTGTTAACCAACTGAACACCATTCTCAAAGAGGACCAAACAACAAAGCCAATTTATGAAAACGTACAATTTATCTCAAGTAGACGTCAACCAAAGAACCTGAAAACACTACTATGTAACTCTAATTTTGAAGAAAACTATTCAGTGACTAAAAGTAAAAATCCTCGATGTGGAACCTGCGACCATCTAACTGAAGGAACTTGTTATAACTTTAACGGCCGAAGATTTACAGTGAACGCCAATATGTCGTGTGATACTCAAAATGTTTTATATGTTATAACCTGTCCAGGGTGTAGTGAATATTATATTGGTGAGACCAGTAACACGCTCCGTACTTGGGTTCATATTCATAAACAGCATATCAACACGCCAGAATACAGACAGATACCACTTAGTGAACATTTAGAAGTGTGTGGACAAAAGAAATTTAAGATATTTCCTTGTTATAAAGTAACAGGAGGAAATGATATTTGTAGACGTCAAAAAGAAAAACATTTTATTTGTACGTTGAAGCCAAAGCTAAACAATCTGATTTAGTATATATATCAATTTAATGATGCATGCATATGTATATCTGTATTTTTATTAAAGTTTTCCCGAACTTTTTACCTGAACGCAAAGAGCAATTGACTATGATGTCATAGTACATTTGACTTCACATTTACGACGTCATATACTCCGCGTATCATTGTGTAACGTTACTATGTAACTACTGTTGTTTATTTTGTAAAGCTTCTGAAGATGGAATGAAAGGCCTAAAGCTTTACTGAGGTTTTTCGTGTTTTTCTTCTTTATGTTAAGTATTTTATTCTGACCACTGAGACTTTTTATTGGATAATCTATATATATATATATATATATTGTAATATTCATTAAATAATAGTCTCCATATTTATTCTCTGTATAGAAAAACAGGCAACATAATTAATACAAGTTCCTCCAAAAATATTGACAGTCATTTAATTCATGTATAGTACAAAATATCTGTGAAATCAATTTTAAGTCACCTCTTCTAAAACACGCCAGAAAAAATGACTAAAATTACTCTAATGTTAATAATCAATTATCTTTGGTATTATTAATATTATTTATTGACCAATTACACCTACCAGTGACCAATGGTAGATTTATGTGATTAATGAACATTAAAGACATGAAAAAAAAATTATAAATTTTGTAAGCTCTTTATTTTATCACATAACACTTTAAAATACACTGTTTCGCTCTGTTAGAGTTCATCAGGCCGCCTAGCAGACGACGACAGTGTTTTTTTTTGGGGGGGGGGGTCTTTTTGACACAAACTTTCAGTATTTACACATTTGTTAAAGCTCACTTCTTTTTTATTTTGACAATGTTTTGCTGAGCCATTTTCCTTTGGAAACTTTCTTGATACCTGGACAAACACCACCAAATGTTTTCCCATAGACTTCCATACAAATTCCAATCACTGTCACTTATTTTTATAATCAATATTCAAAAAATCAGTCACTGTGAAGCAAAGTTCAACACCTCTTCTTCGAAATTCCACCATGAAAAATATATCATGCCATTGCGTTTATCCTTTAAATTTTGGCCTGTTTACAACTGGTATAGATTCGCACTGAATGAAATTGTCCAGCAAAATATCACCCCTCATCTCAAGTCTTCCTTTATAAGTCCTATATCTTTTTTTACACATTCTGTTAAGTCACATATAATTTTTATCACTTATATTTCACTGTCGAATTCCACCACAAAGATTTTTTGTTAATGACCAATCAGGACTCCTGTCAGCTTTTCTTCTCCGCACAACTTTGGGTGTCCAAAATGGCGGCCCCCTCTACCTAGGCAATTCTGGTGTTCTTCCTATAACCAAATGGATAACAAAGTGAAAAAGTGCCCAATTTGACATATTCAGATAACATGTATATAGTACATTTAAAATATGTAACATGAAGAAATTACATGTAAAAACATGTAAATTATGACTATCTATTCAATGTAACCCCCCTACACAAAACGAACGCAACCGTGATATGAAGATGTATTGAAAGTGAACTTCATATTGACTTTTTAAAGTGACTACTGAAATAAAATATGTAATTAACTGACTAACAATGTTATTTCTTATGTTTTCAAGAGGATTTGAGGGATTACATGTAATTTTCACATTCAGAGTATATTGTACCCGATTTTAAAAAAAATAGCCAAAAAAACTCAAATTATTGAGAAAAAATGTTTTTAACATGTATTTAATTTTACAATTCAAAATGAAATCACTAAGCAGCTGACAGCCAATTAAGAGAAGGTTTTCAAAAGAGATGAGAAATAATTTGATCTAGTAGTGTTGTTTTTTCTCTGTAGCAGTAAAACTGTCATTACCCCCTTCAATACACCTACATTTTGCAGCGAGGGTTGCTGGCTAATTCCTATCATGATAACAAATTATTGCATGATAACACCTTAACTTGACATGATGCTGATGGAGCAATGGAAAAAGCACATCACAAGTGAATTTCACTTCAGACACATACAGTATCCATAGTAAATTTTTCAGTCAAGTTTCAAAGATGGGAAAATTCAAAAAGAGGATAATTAAGGTTTTAAACCCAAATATGAGTGCCTCACAACAAGGGAAAATTACTTCATAAAGAAGAAGAAAACTCACCTGCACCATTCACAAGAGTAGACCGGGAAACCTGGAACTGGTGAGGCATCCACCCTCTGTGTGTGAGGAACAGGAAATGATGCTGTGACATGGGTGCCACCGGTTGCTGCAGCCAAGACCTCTGAAAAAGAAAGAGAATCCTGAGGCTTTGATGCAGGCTGAACCCTTGGGGTAATAACTACAGTTCTTTAAAATTTAATAAATAATATCTATAATTAGTAAATAATTTTTCTAATTATTAAAATAGGCCCATATAAGGCCAATTTGCCTGAAATAAGGGGTATACCTAAGATCCTGTCAAATTAATCAGCTTAATTTAACTCATAAAAGGGGTGGGTATCGGCAAAAATTTCATATCGTGATATATCATGATTTTCCCCAAAAAATATCACGATAAATCGTGATATTTTTACACACAATTTTTACTACAATTTCAAATGAATTTCCGTAATAGTTCTTAAAAATATGCTATAAAAACATAACTCTACTTTTAACTTTTTATTTCTTTAATATAAAGCATGTTTGGATGCCGTTGTTTAACTGTTTTCAACATTTTTTTTTTACATTTCCTGTAATTGTCATTCAATAGTTTGAACAAATAAATGAACAATTTCCGGAATTATGGTAATGTGAAAAATACCGGTATTTTAGTCTCCGTATCACGATACGTATCACACAGTAAAGAATTGCGATATACCGGTATACCGATAAAATCACACATCCCTAACTCATAATTAATTATATCTCTAAATTATAGTAACATTTTTAAAATTGATCATTTCTTTGAGGAAAAAAGTTACAAAACCAGTTTCTCTAGACCGTGATGAGTCTTTTGTCTCAATTCTGAAAACAAGTATAGTCTAAGGGGAGTAACTCTAATTTCTGAAAATGAACTTACCTGGATAGGAAGTGATCAGATATAAAACTGGTTTCGGCAGGTGTGATACAGACTCCCAAAGACTGCTCCATCTTCAAAAGACAAGTGGGATGTTCAATACAGCCTTCAAAAAACATGGGAAGACCAATCCAGGATGTGATGGCAACCTGACCTGGGACATGGACTCTGAGGAGAGGCATGGCCTGGGTACTCGACTACAGCTGAAATGCAGCAGGTGCCCTTACATTTCAGAAATGCACAACCTCTATGTGGAAGTGCAATCCAATTCCAGGGGAAGGAAAGCAGCAACAATAAACTATGTCCTACAAGTAGGTCTAAGTCAAACCCCCATTGGCAGTTCATCTGTACACAAAATTTTTATGGCCACCAACACTCCGCCTCCGGCCGAGTCTTCACTACAAAAAAACAAGTAACACCATCATGCAAAAAGTAGTTACCCTAAATAAGAAAAAAGATGATATGAAAAAAAGATGTAAGAAATTAGTTCATATTAATAAATTGCAGGGGGCCCCAAACCCAAACAATATAGGAATTCAGTGCGATGGAATGTATGATAACTCCCTCTACTCTGGGGTGGGGGAAACACCCTTCCAGCCTGCTACACAGACCGTCTTCTTAATTGCAGAAGATGTGACCAGTAGTCACGAGATAATATCTTTAGTGACCAAAAACAAAATATGTCCTGAGCGACAGCACCTCAAGAACAATCCAAGCCATGTGTGCACTGAGCAGACCTGGGGCAAATATACCCATGACCAAAAACATTGGTGACGAATTCACCTGGGCCAAAGAGGGCATAGAAGACCTTCTCGAGAATGATTTAAATGTCAAGGACATTACATCAGACCCTGACAGTACAATATTCAAGGCCGCTGAGTCTTTGTATGCCGAGGGCAAACTATCAGACGAACTGCGAAGTTTTGTCGACACTCGGCATCTTGCTGAAAATGTCAGAAAGGCCATCAAGAAAGATGAATCTTTACAGAAAATTATGCCCAAAAATACCAAAGCTGTAAGAATCAAACTGCTAAATAACTTTGCTATAGATTTTACAGACAGATGAAAAGTTTACATAAGGGGGGTGGGGATGGATTTTAAACTACCTGAGGATGCTTCCATATCAATAAAACAAATGGCTTTTCTGTTCTTCAGAAGATTTTTAAAGATTTTTTTCCTATAAATTCCTTTGTAAGAATTTGATCCCCTATTGTAGCTCCTCCCTACCCTAAGGGATCATCATTTGAACAAACTTGGATCTACAATACCTGAGGATGCTTCCATGTCAATATGACTAAACATCTAGAGAAGAAGATTTTTTTCTATATATATTCCTATATAAAACTTTGATCCCCTGTTGTGGCCCCACCCTACCCCTGGGGGTCATCATTGAACAAACTTAAATCTACACTATGTAAAGAAGGTTTTCTTTAAGTTTCAACTTTTTTTGCCCTGTGGTTCTTGAGAACATTTTTAAAGCATGCCACCAAATTTTCACTATTTCTGAATTACCTCCCCTTGCAGGGATCGACAATAACTTTTAAAACCATAGTCACCCTCATACTCAGCAATTTGTTCGGTTGCGGTCATGTATACACGTGATTCAAATAACCCAAACTGTAGGGGACCACAAATGCAGTATTTTTTTTTTTAATATTGAGGTGTTGTCAAAAACAATAAATGCTCATGGAACCTTTTAAAATTGCTGTTCTATCAATCTGTCAATTCCTAATGCATCGTGTTTCACCCACCAACAATGCTATGACATGGATGAGGAAAACCATGCAACATTTTCAACACAAATATTTCTTCCATAAGGATAATTTAAATCAATTAAATTGCTAATTTTTTAATTAACACATGATGTTTATCTCTATTTTTTTGTATCTGATAAGTCTTTTGATAACTGGTTGGTCGTCTCACCTGTGTTGTGTGTCGTGCAATGTACAGCAATAAGTTTAGTTACCGAGAATCGCGAAACACGGGGTGATTCGGAAAGTAACAAAATCAGGACTTTTGCATTTTTAAATTAATTTTTACATGCTTCGAGCGAGTGTTTGGTAATAAATTGCAGTAGCCCTGCAGGAAAAGCTCAAAGACGTTTAGTAGCCCGACCTCAATTTTCAGGTGTCCCAGGCTAGCGGGCTACTGTTAGTGTCGAACCCTGCCTTGAATGAGGGCGTGGCCCTTCATTTGAATAAACTTGAATCCCTTTTACAATGTACCAAAGGATGTTTTGTGGCAAGTTTGGTTGAAATTGGTCCAGTGTTCCTGGAGAAGAAGTTAAAAATATGAAAAGTTTATAGACAGACTGACAGACTACAGACAAAATGTGATCAGAAAAGCTCACTTGAGCTTTTAGCCCAGGTGAGCTAAAAAGTCACTACTTTTCTACAGATAACACATTTTATGAGTTTTTCATATTTATATTATATTATACTTTCATGTAAATAAGTTGAATCTAATTCGTTGAGAAACATTTTTTAAGCAAGAGGCCCATGGGCCACATCACTAGGCAAAAGCACAAATCAGTTCAGTATTGAAAAGACTACCGAGGGGGGGGGGGGGGCATGAATTTAAAGTACTTGATGATGCTTCCATGTCAATATAACAAATGGCTTTGTTGTACTTGAGAAGATTTTAAAAAAAATTTCCCATATATTCCTTTGTAAAAATTTGATCCCCCATTGTAGCTCCTCCCTATCTCAGTGGTCATCATTTGAACAAACTTGAATCTACACTACCTGAGGATGCTTTCATATCAATATGATTAAACATAGCTTTTCTGTTCTTGAGAAGAAATATTTTTTCTATGTTCTTACGTAAAACTTTCGATCCCCCATTGGGCCCCACCCTACCCCTGGGGTCATCATTTGAACGAATTGAATTTACACTACCTGAGGATGCTTCCATATCAAAATGACTAAACATGATTTTCAGTTCTTAAGAAGAAGATCTCTTCCTATATGTTCCTATGTAAAATTTTCGATCCCCCATTGTGGCCCGACCCTATCCCCAGGGGTCATGATTTGAACAAAATAGAATCTACACTACCTGAGGATGCTTCCATATCAAAATGACTAATCATGGCTTTGCAGTTCTTCAGAAGAAGATATTTTCCTATATATTTCTATTTAAGACTTTGATCCTCCATTGTGGCCCCACCCTACATCTGGGGGTCATGATTTGAACAAAATAGAATCTACACTACCTGAGAATGCTTCCACATAAATATGATTAATTAGGGTTTTGCTGTTCTTGAGAAGATTTCTAAAAAATTTTCCTATATATTTCTATGTAAAACTTTGATCCTCCATAGTGGCCCCACCGTACCCCCGGGGTCATGTTTGAATAAATTTGAATCTACACTACCTGAGGATGCTTCCATATAAATATGACTCATCATGGCTTTGCTGTTCTTGAGAAGAAGATTTTTAAAGGTTTTCCTATATATATTTCTATGTAAAACTTTGATCCTCCATTGTGGCACCCCCTACCCCCGGGGGTCATGATTTGAACAAAATTGAATCTACACTACCTGAGGATGCTTCCACATGAGTTTCATCTTTCCTGGCCCTGTGGTTCTTGAGAAGAAGATTTATAAAAGATGCTATTAATTTTTCGCTAATTCTTTATTATCTCCCTTTGAAAGAAGGCGTGTCCCTTCATTTGAACAAACTTGAATCCCCTTCATGCAAGAATACTTTGTGGCAAATTTGGTTGAAATTGGCCCAGTGGTTCTTGAGAAGACGTCGAAAATGTTAAAAGTTTACAGACAGACAGACGCCTGATAAAATTTAAAGTGATCAGAAAAGCTTACTTGAGCCTTCAGCTAAAAACACCATTACCCGCTGAATGATGAAGCCACGCCCTCCAGCGTAGCAACTGTCAACATTGCTTGATGACGGGTGATATTCCAAAAAAACAGTGACTGCGCAGAATTTATGCGCGCACGGTTCACTGTTATATGATTGTATTAAATTTTGTATAAAACATTCAGTATAATATAATAAATATTGCATGTAGTTGAGTGTAACATTGAAAATTTTTACCCCAAGAAAACCACTGTAAACTTCCGCTGCGCCTCGGTTGACAATGGTTTTCCATGGGAGAAAATTTTCAATGTTACACTCAACTACATGAAATATTTATATAATATATAATATAATAATATATGTGTTATTTGAATGTACAATGCTGAAATAGTAGTCAGGGTTTGACACATTATGCACGAGCCAGAAATCAGAGTGCATTATGTGTCAAACCCTGACTACTATTTCAGCAAAGTACATCTAACTAATAACACTAATTTGATTATAATGCTGACTGTTGTTTGTATATGACAATTTAATAAAAATTCTCAATCCCAAAGCTGTTTGCGGATGTTAAATCTAAATGAAAATTTTCTTGAACATGCATTAAATTCTTTCAACAAGTGTTATATCTAAAAGCATTTTTAATTAATGACTCCTGTTACATTGCAATTTTGAATATTGATACATTAATTTAAGTATTTATTTGATATTTTTTTTCAAGATCCTTGTCAGTGATATCATTATTTTGATTTTTTATTTTTTATTTTTTTTTGGTGTCAAATGTCACTATGAAAACTATGTATATATACTAGCTATAAATACATTTGGTTAATGATAGGTTTTTGTGGCGTAATGGTAATGCGTGGGACAGACAATCTCATAATCGCAAGTTCGACACGCAACTTGGTGCTTTACACATTTCCTTTCAAAAAGACAGCTGTGAACTATTTTGGCATAGTATGCTTACGCTATATAAATCCTTAGAACACTGCAAAAATAGTTAGGTATTGATTACATAGACAAACTGACAGGAAACATTCTAATAATAAAATATGATGAAAAACATAAAAGCAATATGTACATACCTGCCATACACTTGCAATGTCCTGGTGACATCGTACCTTGTTGTAAACAAGGTATTTTACAATGTTAGGGTAGATGACTTTAGGCCAGTTCATCATGTCTTTTGTCCATTCACCCTTTTCCTTCTCCTAAGGATCTTTATCTTCAAATGCTCATAGCTTTTCCACAAACCTGGTCCATGCGGTAGTATCCAAGGTGTCCAGACAATGCACTTTTGCCCTGGAGTCTGATATTTTGCTGTTTAACTTAATCAACATAAGTTTCATTGACATCTCTAGTTTTTGCCCTACAAGATGGTGCAACGTGCAGAGGATTATGGGTAACTTAAAGTCATAAATGGAAAATGGTTTCATTGCATATTTAACTACTTAACTATGTTCAAGTATCTATCACTGTTATTCACATGTATTCATTATATTAATTTCTCAGAAGTTTTTTTTGTGAATTGGTCTGGCCATCACTTAAAGAATAATTTAAATTATTGACATCACTGTTTTTCAGAAATATGTTGACTTTGTTATTCACAAATATCCATCATTTTTATCGACGAAAGGAAGTACACAATCACTATCCATGATGAAATATCTCCGTTTCCAATGGAGTCAAAATGTCACATTTATCAAAACTTCAGCATAAGTTCCTGTCCAAAATCCTGGTCATAATAATGTCACACACCTCTCAGAACTTAGTAAAACTGGTCCTTTACGGGATGGTCTGAAAAATACAGAGGAGAAAACTTAACATTCCTGTAAATAGTTTTTTATTTAAATTAAACCTTTGCCATACATGGAAATTGTTTTATTAAATTTGGAAAATTTAAAATTTGTTTACAGTTGAACCTCATTATCTCAAACTTGATGGCACCGAGAAAAATCTCTGAGATAACTGAGGTTATTGAACATATAGAGAAAGTGTTTGGGACTTTTTACACTTTGACATATCCGTGATATTGGTGATATTAGTGTTCGAGATATCAAAGTTAAGATGTGTTCTGTTTTTGAGCAATGTCTTTGTTATACTGATTTATCGAATTATTTCATTTTAGGACTCACACAAGGAAATAATTTCACTGTATGTTTCTTGCTATATAGCCTTAATTAAATTAATTATTAAACTAGAAACTCACCATATAATCAATGAAAGAGAAGATAAAGACTTTTATCATTCAGAATAATACTGTCAATCTGATTGGTTTAGAGCAAATCACATGAAGGGAGACAATTCATGAAGTCTCTCTCACATGCAGGGTGCCAACTGTGTTGTTGCCCTTCAGAGGATGAAATAGTGCAAGCAGGCATACAGGGTGACAACTGTATTGTCTCCCTTTAGATGAAAATAAAATGTCGTATATCTCATTTATATACAAAATTGATATATATGCAGGATTGGTAAACAATACAAGATGTGTCGTTAATGCCACGAATGCCCCGTGCAGGCAGCCAAAATTTCAAATTGCACATTTGTAGCCAAAATAATGATTAGAAATTGTGAATTTTTACATCTTTTCCAAATTCAAGAGAGACAACTCTGTCGAAAATCATCAGACCACAACTTAATTCAATCTTGACCTGTATTTTCTGGTAAAATCCATGCATATGCAATTTCAACCTAATACAAGTTGGAGAGCAGGAACTGAAAATTTCTTATTTTTTTCTAAGTTCAAGAGAGGTAACTCTGTCAAATATTATCAGACCATGACCAAATATGAACTTCACACCTGTCTATACCTATGACATATCCATATGTCAAATTTGAGTTGAATGTATGCATCTGTTGCTGAGATAACGAATGGAAGGTCAATGATGATGGAATGATGGAACAGGGTAACACTATTTTATGGCGGGGCGGGGCATAAAAATCTAACAGTGGTGTCAAATTGTGTGGAGTTGAAGCAGTGGGTAGGAGAGCACAAGAGGCTGACTGATATTTTCTTCTCTATGAAATTAAGATTCTTTAGGATAGTTTAGTGATTTGTTTAGGAGATATAAAAATTTATCAGGTCTGGGTAGGAATGTGCTCTCGTGTCCTCAGGTGCCAACCCTACTCAAACCTGATAATTTGTGTTGTCTCACTCCAAACTTTCTAATTCTCTTCAATTCAGTAGGTCAATTCAACAGAGATTTTTACATAAGCACTGAATTCTCATGTCCTGCTGAAAAATTGATTACTGCGTGTTAGTGTGGTATGATAATTCATTGGATACTGCGTGTTAGTGTGGTGTGATAATTCATTGGATACTGCATGTTAGTGTGGTATGATAATTCATTGGATACTGCGTGTTTGTGTGGTATGATAATTCATTGAATACTGCATGTTAGATTGGTATGATAATTCACTGAATACTGCGTGTTAGTGTGGTATGATAATTCATTGAATACTGCATGTTAGTGTGGTATGATAATTCACTGAATACTGCATGTTAGTGTGGTATGATAATTCATTGAATACTGCGTGTTAGTGTGGTATGATAATTCATTTAATACTGTGTGTTAGTGTGGTATGATAATTCACTGGCACTTAAGGTGCTGTTATGATATTGGACCGACAACATTTAAAAATAAGATGTGTTTGTGAAACACTATGCCCCCAATGGTAACAAATTTCTGTAGTGGGACGTAGACTACAGTGCAATAGTTATTGCCAATGTTAGAAGTTTCTCAAATGTAGGTCAAAGGTACAGTTGGGATCATATGATCAAAAATTTCTGTACCAATGGAAAGATCTTGTCATAATGAACACTCATGTCAAATATTAAAGACTTATCCTTGACAGCACAATAGTTATGGGCTAGGTTAAAGTTGACAACAGACAGACAGACAAACAGACAGAGAGGACAAAAACAATATACCCCCAGGATCTTTCAATCTGGGGGCATAAAAACAAAGCAACACATTTGAGAACTATAAAAGGAAAAATGTGGACTTTTGACATCTATCAGAGAGGAAGCTAGGTAACATGGACTTCTGACATCTATCAGAGAGGAAGGAGATAAAATATATGTAACACACAGGAAAAGGAAGGAAAAGGAAGTTACCTGTCCAGGACATAAAGACTGTACTGCAACCATTCCTCCAGAGACCATAATGGGGATGAATAGAAATGGGCTGCAAAATGTAATATCATACTTTCACGTAAATTAGCTGAATCTGATTCATCAAGAAACATTTGTTAAACAAGATCTGTTTGTGAAACACTGATGCCCCCATATGGCAGCTTATGGCAAAGGTTAAAGTTTCTCAAATGCAAGTCAAAATCCAGGCCAAAAGATAAAAAATGTTGGTACCCAAAGAAAGGTCTTGTCTCAAGGAGTATACCTGTGAAATTTGAAACCCCTAGCTGCAACTGTTCAAAAGTTATGGCGAAGGTTAAAGTTTTTTTAAAAGAAGATCAAACTCCAAGCTCAAGGTCAAAAGGTCAAAGTTCTTGGTATCCAAAGAAAGGCCTTGTCACAAGGAATACACATGTGAAATATGAAAGTCATAGCTCCAACCAATCAAAAGTTTTGGGCAAACTTAAAGTTGATAACAGACAGACAGTCAGGACAAAAATGAAACACCCCCGGGATCTTTCGATCTGGGGGCATAAAAATACTATTACTCGCTGAATGATGTAGTCACGCCCTCCAGCGTAGCAACAGTCAATATTGCTTAATGACGGGTGATATTCCAAAAAATAGTGACTGCGAAGAATTTATGCGCGCAAGGTTCACTGTTATATGTATTCGTATAAAACATTGAGTATAATATAATAAATATTGCATGTAGTTGAGTGTAACACCGAAAATTTTTACCCCTCGAAAACCATTGTCAACCCCGGCTGTGCCTTGGTTGACAATGGTTTTCTTATAAAGTAATGACCGTCTACTAGTCATTCCCCATTTCAACAGTGATGGAGATAAGGCCATTGCATCTGAAAAAAACAGAAGTCTCTGATGAGACTGTAGCTCTACTGGTCTGTTTGTATAACAAAAGAAAAGTAGCACTTGGATTTGAAACATTGCAACATGCAACAATAAATAGAATTATGTATCTTAATGTAGTCTACTTCTGTGCCAAGTTATATTGAAATCAAATGAAAACTGTAGGAGGAGTAGTGTTTTGAAAGTATTTCACAGAAATTTCTATTTTTAGTAACCATGACAACACCGTTCACCCAAATAAAAAAAAACAGAAATACATATTATGTATCGTAGTGTATTCTAACTGTGTGCCAAATTAGATTGAAATCAGACCAAAATTGTAGGAGGAGTAATGTTTAATGGGAATTTCACAAAAATTTCTATTTTTAGTAACCATGGCAACACTGTTCATCGAATTCAAAAACCAATGCACTAAATTATTTATCTAAGTGTAGTCTACTTGTCTGCCAAGTTATATTGAAATCGGACCAAAACTTTAGGAAGAGTAGCGTTTTAAAGGAATTTCACAGAAATTTCTATTTTTAGTAACCATGGCAACACCGTCCATCCAAATCAAACACCGATGCACTATATTATGTATCTTAGTGTAGTCTACTTGTGTGCCAAGTTATACTGAAATCGGACCAAAACTGTAGGAGGAGTAGCATTTTAAAGGAATTTCACAGAAATTTCTATTTTTAGTAACCATGGCAACACTGTCCATCGAAATCAAAAACCGATGCACTATATTATGTATCTTAGTGTAGTCTACCTGTGGGCCAAATTATATTGAAATCAGACCAAAACTGTAGGAGGAGTAGCATTTTAAAGGAATTTCACAGAAATTTCTATTTTTAGTAACCATGGCAACACCGTCCATCAAAATCAAAAACTGATGCATTATATTATGTATCTTAGTGTAGTCTACTTGTGTGCCAAGTTATATTGAAATCGGACCAAAACTGTAGGAGGAGTAGCGTTTTAAAGGAATTTCACAGAAATTTCTATTTTTAGTAACCATGGCAACACCGTCCATCAAAATCAAAAACCGATGCACTAAATTATGTATCTTAGTGTAGTCTACTTGTGTGCCAAGTTATATTGAAATCGGACCAAAACTGCAGGAGGAGTAGCGTTTTGAAAAATTGTTTAAAGACAGACGGACAGACAGACAGATAGACAGACGGACGGACGGACGACGGACACCTTACTATCGCATAAGTTCTTCTGGTCTCTGACCAGTAGAGCTAACAAGGACATATCATTGAAAACCTTTAAAGACTTGCCTCACTTCTTTGAT